TGGGCTTCAGCTCAAGGCAAATGCTCCACCACTTGAGCCACAGCGCCACTTCTGGTTTTCTGGTGGTTTATTGGAGATAGGAGTCTCACAGTCTTTCCTGCCTAGGCTGACTTTGAACCTCGATCCTCAGGTATCAGTCTCCTGAGTAGCTAGGATTACAGACGTGAGCCACCAGCGCCTGGCTCGCTCCTCCTTCCTTCCTTCCTTCCTTCCTTCCTTCCTTCCTTCCTTCCTTGCTTCCTTGCTTCCTTGCTTCCTTCCTTCCTTCCTTCCTTCCTTCCTTCCTTCCTTCCTTCCTTGTCCTTGAATTCAGGGCCTGGGTACTGTCCCTAAGCTTCTATGTGCCCAAGGCTAGAATTCTACCACTGAGTCACAGCTCCGCTTAGGGCTTTTTTTGAGTAGTATATTAGAGATAAGAGTGGAATGGACTTTCCTGCCTACGTTGGCTTTGAACCACGAATCCTCAGATCTCAGCCTCCTGAATAGCTAGGATTACAGGTATTAGCCACCAGTGCCCATCTAATTTAAGTATCTCTTTTTAATCATAGCTTCTCAAGGGTAAAGAAGAAAATCTTACTGGTTTTCTGGAACCTGGGAACTTTGGAGAGAGTTTGTGAGTACTTCTGTTTGACTATTTTAAAAATGTATACTTGGGGAATCTCAGAACTCACCATTTTTTTTTTTAAACTTTCCTTTCCTTTATTTTACAGTTTACATTTACATTTTTTTTTTTATTGTAAAGATACTATACAGAGGGTTACAGTTACATGAGTGAGGTAATGAGTACACTTCCTCTTGAACATTGTTAGCCCCTCCATTGTTTTCCCCCTACCATCCCCTCCCTCCCTCCCTTCCCCGAAGTTCTTTTTTTTTTTTTTGATTGAGAACTCACCATTTTTATTGTTTGTACTCTGAATAGTTGGAGTGTTTTATGGGAGAGTACATGGAAGCCTTAAAAATGCTGTCTACCTAAGTGTGTAATATACTATAAATATACTGAAAATTATTTTTCCAGTTTAAAGCTTCATTAGTCATACTTTCAGAGTACAGATTTTGAAGTAAAGTACTTTTTGGAGTCAGGCACAGTGGTATATGCCCATAATCTCCATACTTAGAGAAAGATTGAGCTCAATAGGAAAATCATGAGTTTGAGACCAGCCTGCTCTATTTAGAGCTTTTTTTTTTTAAAAAAAAAAAAGCAAAACAAGGGCAAAAATCCAGCTGGACACTGGTAGCTTAATCCTCACTATTCACGAGGATGAAGTCTGAGGATTGCAGTTCTAAGCCAGCCTGGGCAGGGTAGTGTGTGAGAATCTTTTCTCCACTTAAACCACCCAAAAAAAAGCCAGAAGTGGAGCTGTGGCCTTGCCTTGAGCACAAAAGCTCAGGGACAGCACCCAGGCCCTGAGTTCAAGTCCCAGGACTGGCACAAAAAGGAAAAAAAAAAAAAACAGGAAAGAACTTTTGGAACTATGTTGGGGAAAAGAGTTGAATGTACAAAAAGTGTTGAATGTACCTAGAACAGCCAGGAGAGAGAGGACCAAGCTTCTCACCAGAAGCTGCACATATCATCAGGCAGATTGGCCTAATGTCCCTACCCACTGTTAGTGAAATGTACTCACTGTGTGCTAGATACACTGAGTATAGCAATTTTCCCTGCTACTGTCTTCAGTTGACTGAAATTTAACTTTCCAGAAATTATTAGAGGCAGTGGCTGATTCCTGATTCCTTCCAACTCAGGAGTTGGAGATTATAGGAGGATTATGGTTCAAAGCTAGCCTGGGCAAAAAGTTTGAAAGATTTTCTTCTCAGTCAGTAAAATCTGTGTGTGATGGGGGCATGATGGAAGCAGCAGTAGAATGCCTGCTTAGCAACTTGTGAGGCCCTGAGTTCAAACTTCAGACTAGTCACACAAAAAAAAACCCAAAAAACTTTTAGTAGTAAATAAACAGATGAAATAATTAGGTGGTTTGAGACATTAATGGAGATGTCACTTATGAGAAAGTACATTTGTCTGTTTTTTTCCCCCCCTGTAGTAAAGCCATCAGTAAGGCCTATGAGGAGTATGTTCTATCTGCTGGGAATTTAGATGAACGGATATTTCTTGGAGAGGATGCTGAGGAGGAAATTGGGACTCTGTCCCGGTGTCTGAACATGGGGTCAGGAGCAGAGAGTGCTGAGAGAGCACAGGTGAAAAACATCTTGCAGCAGCACTTCGACAAGGTGAGCCAGAAGCTGGGCTCTTTTCTTCTTCACTCCACTCTGTTCTGCTCACATAGCCTTGTGTATATGCTTTGTTTGCAATGTACAAAGAAAATGCCTATCTAACTCCTCAACTGAAAAGTTATCTATTGATTTACTTTTTTGTTACTGTCAACTCTGTAAGGTTTTAGTTAGCTCTGAAAAGATTTACTATAAATTGAAGGGAATGTATCCTGTTGATAATTTTTGCGCCCATAGTATATAACCTTATGCATCATGAACATAGTATTAGAAAATATAAATTAATCTGAATTTGGACCTTCATTTAAGGTACTGGAGAAACTGAAAATCTGTAGACTGTAAGAAAATTCTATTAAATAGAGTTTTGGGATTATCCTAGGATGATGGTGATTGAATTTCTCTTCTCAGGTTTTTTCAGATGTGAGACTGGTCTGCTTGTTTAAATAATAGTCTAAAAGGATCTTATACACCACCCCATGTCCTGAACAAAACCAAAAACAGCAGTGGCCAAAACAGCTACAAACTTCCTGTTCTAAAGCTTATATTTTTTTTTCCCCCTACCATCCCCTCCCTCCCTCCCTTCCCCGAAGTTCTTTTTTTTTTTTTTTTGATTGTGATTAAGTGATTACGTAATTTCTAACTCACAAGTTCATTCTAACTTTCCTGGAGCAAATTGTCTATCACAGTCTGTAATATATAACAGTGTTCACATGTTATACACCATACATGTGATCAGCAGCATGGGGATATTTAGTAGTGGTTCAACCAGATGAGCAGGAGTTCTTTGTTTCTTAAGTCCTGTTAGTTTTGTCGTATCACCTAACATTTTGATTTAGCATCCACTTATCAGGGAGACCATGTACCGTTTGTCTCTTCGCTCTTGGCTTACCTCGCTCAACATGATTCCTTCTAGCTCCATCCATTTCCCTGCAAATGCCATTATTTTGTCATTTCTAATGGCTGCATAAATTCCATTGTGTATAGATACCACAATTTTTGGATCCATTCATCTGTCGTGGGCATCTGGGTTGTTTCCATATCCTAGCTATTGTGAACAGTTAAAGCTTATATTTTTAATGTGGGGAAATTATCAATAGATAACAAAAAAGTTTTTTAAAAAAGTATGTTGGGTATTGTATATGAAGTGTCAAGGACAGGGTAGGCAAAATGGTTGGGAAAGGTGACTCTGAGGGGGCAGTATTAGCAGAGACCTGAGGTATGTGGGGAAGCAAACCTTGGGCATAGCTGAGAAAGGCATAAGGTGGGAACAAAATTGGCAGTTTAGAATCATGGGAGAAAGCTACTATACTAGGAATAAAGTGAGTGAGGGAAGAGAAAGGAGAGGGGAATGGGATAGGCAGGTTTTAAAGGCTTTTGGGAACCATTGTGCCATTGTAAAGAGTTTTTCTTTTGCTTGGACCTGGGGCTTGAACAAACACTAGCACTCTCCACTTAGGGCTTTTCATTGGAAGTAAAGTCTCACAGACTTTCCTGCCCAGGCTAGTTTAGAACCACGATTCTCAGATATCAGCCACCTGATTAGCTATGATTACAGGGGTGAGCCAACAATCCCCAGCTGAGATGCAAGCTTTTAAGTGGGTGATTCTGAGAAAAGTGATAACACTCCTCCGTGACCAGATGTCCAGCAGGTCATGTAGGAAAGTAGGACCAGGATAAGGAGGCTATTGGAATGATTCTAGTAATTCATGGTGGCTTTATTTAGAGAAAGGTTATATTTGGGTCACATTTTGGAGCTGGTACCCACAGCATTTTGGGTTAGGGTGTACTAGAGGAAAAAGTAGTGATGACTACTGGGTAAATGATGTAAACCCAAGTCCTTAAAAATGCCTGTAAGGTGATAGCACCTTGTTACCTCTCCATCCATCTGCTGCTTTCCTCATGATTCTACTCATGCCACATTAACTTCCCTTTTCATTCTTAGATTGCTACGCCAAAACAAAGCCTTTGACCTTGCTCTTTTCTCTGCCTAAAAGAAAGATAATCCTACGGCTTTCTTTTTCATCTCTATTTCCAATAACTTCTTTCCCTTCTCTGCTGTTAGTGCCTGTATCATGTCTGCCAGTAGTAGGGAGGGAAGTAGACTCAGAATAAAGCTACAAAAGGCCTGTGACCAACATTTTTTTTTAATTTTTTTTTTTTTTTGGGTACAGTTGTGGGGCCTGAACTCTGGGCCTGGGCACTGTCCCTCAGCTCTTCAGCTCAAGGCTAGCGCTCTACTACTTGAGCCACAGCGCCACTTCCGGCTTTTTTCTTTTTGCTTATGTGGTGCTGAGGAATCAAACCCAGGGCCTCATGCATGCAAGGCAAGCGCTCTACCACTGAGCCACCTTCCTAGCCCCCTGTGACCAACATTTTGTGTGGTGGTCTCCATGTAATAGGTATTCTAAAAACATTTTACTGTTCATATTTACTGAGAAGGAAGAAGTTAAGGGGTGTAGCTTAAAAGTTAGGGTTATTAGTATGTCAAATTTGAGATCTTTTAGGTGACCCTAGTAGTAGGCAGTTTAGAAATTCATCACCTGAGTGGACAAGAATGGTTGAAGTGTGCTTAAGTTCTGAAGTCATCAAAATGTGATGGCCCATACATCATAGAATGAAGACCGATTACCTCCCATTATGAGTTGATGAAAGAATAAAAGGGGTCTTAGGCCAAAGCTCTGGAGCAGTCCAAATGTTGCATCCTAGTATTTACTTATTTATTTCAATTTTTTTACTTTTGTCATTCGTGGGGCTTGAACTCTGGCGTGGATGCTGCTCTGCACTTTTGAGCTCAAGGCAAGTGCTCTTCCGCTTAAGCCACAGTGCCACTTCTGATTTTCTAGTAGTTTATTGGAAATGAGAGTCTCACAGACTTTCCTGCCCGGGCTGGCTTTGAACCGTGATCCTTAGATCTCAGCCTCCTGAGTAGCTAGGATTACAGGCACGAGCCACCAGCATCCAGCTCATTGTAGTATTTTTTAAAACTCCGTGTTATATATCTGAGTTAAAGAATCCTCTACGTGATCCTTAAAGCTATACTTTTTTTTTTTTTTGGTCAGTCATGGAGCTTGAACCCAGGGCCTGGGCATTGTCCCTGAGCTCTTTTGCTCAAAGCTAGTGCTGTACCACTTTGAACTAAAAGCTCTACTTCTGGTGGTTAATTGGAGATTAGAGTCTCATGGACTTTCCTGCTAGGGTGGTTTGGAACTGCAATTCTCAGATTTTAGCTTCTTGAGTAGCTAGGATTATAGGCATGAACCACCAGGATCCTGCTAAAACTAAACTTTTTATTTAAAAAAAAAATTGTTAGCCAGGTACTGGTGGCTCATGCCTGTAATCCTAGCTACTCAGGAGGCTGAGATCTGAGGATCACGGTTCAAAGTCATCCTGGGCTGGAAAGTCTGTGAGACTTTTATCTCCAATACACTGCTCAGAAAACCAGAAGTGGCGCTGTGGCTCCAGTGATAGAGCACTAGCCTTGAGCTGAAGAGCTGAGGGACAGCGCCCGGACCACAGTTCAAGCCCCAGGACGGACCCCCCCCACACACCAAAAATAAAATACTCATTGTTACTTTTCTACACTTTTTATACCTATCCCAACCAATCTTACCTCCTCTATCATACTCCCTGCTCTCCTCCTCCCACAAAATAGAATCCCCAGTAGGTTTCCTTGTTTCAATTTCATAGTTGCCAATAATCTATTTTAACATATTTTACCTCCTTTATCCTCCCACCTGCCCAGCCTCCTTTTACTAGTCCCCACATAACTACAGAGTCTATTTGTCCACCCCCATTTTTCTACTGATCAACAATAAAGCTAAACTTTTATTAGTGATACCAAGAAGCCCCAAAGTCACTTCAAGGACTCTGGGCAGGAAGCTGCTTGTATTTATCACACCTAGATTCCTGGATGAAACCACTGCCTACAAGTGATGTGCTACGTGCTACTGGTGGCTGCTTCTTCAGGCATTCATTGTTTCTCTGCCAGAGTAAGCAGGCACTGGTTCATGTACAGTGAAAAAGTGGGCCCAGGAAATTTGAGATAGGGAGCAGCCATCTACACTATATTATTGACTTGGAAAAATGATAGGATGAATTTCCCTAAACAAATTGAAGGCCTTAACTCTGCTATTCTTTAAGACACAAAAAGTGTATAGATTCAACAATGGAGGTGGTAACAATGCTCAACAGGTAGTGTACTCATTACCTTACTCATGTAACTGTAACCCTCTGTATAGTATCTTTACAATAAAAAAAAATAACAAAACGTATAGATTCAATATGGAAAGCATGGCAGTGTATTGCTGTATTTCTATATTTTATGAGAACTGAATAGCTTTTTTGTTGCCAGCTAAAACTTTGCAAGATGTTTTTAAAACTCTAAAATAAATACATACATACTTGGAAAATGTGGCTTATCTTTAATATTCAGAGATCTTGTTAAGCTATCACAACCTTTAAAAATTAGAAAAGATTTATTTATTTATTTTGTTAGTCATAGGGCTTGAACTTAGGGCCTAGGCTCTGTCTCTGGGCCTCTATGTGTTTAAGGCTAGTGCTGTACCACTTGAGCCACAGTACCACTTCAAGCTTTTTCTGTTTATGTGGAACTGAGGAATTGAACCCAGGGCTTCAGGCATGCTTGGCAAGCACTCTGCCACTAAGCCAGAAAAGATGTTTTATTAGTGTATGTACTTCTGCTTAAATTCTTTGTCAGGAAGTCAAATCTTTTTCCTTTTTCATACTTACATTCCAAAAAGTTGACTGGCTAACTTTAGGGGTAAAAATGCAATGGTAGATTCTATTAACTAATGGTAGAGAGGCAAAAAGACCAGTGAAGACTGTTTTGTATCAAATTGCCTGTTTGGGGGGATGTTTAGTTTTTCTGAGGCAAATTTGCTACTCTCAGATGGACTTTTATTAAATCACGTGTGTGTGTGTGTGCGTGTGTGTGTGTGTGTGTGTGTGTGTGTGTGTGTTATTGGGGATCATACGTATAACCTTGTACATAGTAGTCAAGTGCTCTAACTCTGAATTATACCTTTAGCTGGAGATATAACTTAAGATAGAATTTTTGGTTGACTAAAACATTTTGACATTTCAAACATATTTATGTGAATACTGGTGGTACTTATCAAGCAATAGTGGTAAATGAATTGCTAAAATTTATTGATAAAGTTCGATTTATTTGAATTCTTATTTGTGAAGAAAAATCTTTCAGACCCAGATATTTAATTCTTCTTCATTTTCCCTCTCTAGTCAAAAGCACTTAAAATCTCCACACCGCTTAGTGGTATGAAGTACAATAAGGAGAACAGCCCTTGTATGACCCCCATTACCACAGCTGCACACAGCTTGAGCCGTCTTCATACCATGCTGACAGGCCTCAGGAATGCACCAAGTGAGAAGCTAGAACAGATTCTCAGGTTGGTTTGAGCTCCATCAGCCTTGAAATGTTCATTTATTGTTCATTTATTTACCATTATGTATCAGCCTGTTGAGGCTATAGTACCCAAGTATCCAATTGGGGGCTGGGAAGGTGGCTCAGTGGTAGAGCGCTTGCCTTGCATGCCTGAGGCCCTGGGTTCAATTCCTCAGCACCACTTAAGCAAAAAGAAAA